CCAATATTCTTCTACATTCTTGCGTATCATACAAAATTAATACCTTTAGAGACCTGAGCTGGATTGGAGTTATAACAGTGGTATCAGAGCCACAGAGGGATTGCCGCTGCCTCGCCGCCGCCTCACTGCCGCCTCGCCGTTGCCGGAGGTCCAGGGAGTGCTGCCGCTGTCGCCAGGAGTCGTTCCAGCAATAGCCGACTTCGAACCAGACTACTTCCAGCCGGCCGGCCCTTCTGCCAGGAGTCCAAGGTGCTGTCCAAAGCTCTGCCACCGGTCCAGTCCGCTGCCGCCATCCACGCCGTGCTCTAGAGCAGCCCATGCTGTCTACGGTAAGTTGGGTAACCCAACCTCGGGCCCTGCTCGATCAGGTAAATTGGCGATAAACATCCTTGGTGTACCGGAGTGCCACCGGAACCCCCCCCCGCTGCTGACCTACGTGGTCTTGGAAGCCGGTTGTGTCCGGCCCTATGTACGTTTACGTAATCTTAATCCTTTGTGTGATTATTATTCGTAGTTCATTCATTTTAATTTCAAGTTCAATTGCAATTACTTGTTTGTTTGAATTGTGATTACTTGTTATTGGTTTGTGGATTAATTTTCCGGGTTAAGAATATTTTGTTTGGATACTCGTTGTCCAAAGGTGTGAATATTTCTTTCCGGTTTAAATTTAATCACGTTTTGAATTTTGATTTTCTGTCTTTTGATTCATGGATAAATTTCCGGTTAAGAATATTTTGTTCGGATACTTAGCTTGTTGTCCGAAGTGGTGAATATTTCTTTCTGATTTAGATTTAATCCCGTTTCATTGATTGTTGATTTGATTTTTAGCCTATTTGTGCAAGTACGAAAGAACTAGGAGATTGTACACGAGCTTTGTGTTCATTGGTCTTCTCGGCTTGTTCGTGCTAGTTGCTTCGTACAATTCACAGCCTATAGGTTATAATTAATCACTTTCCTGTCTGTTGAGTAAATAAAAATTTTATCTGGGCTTATACGAAAGAACAAGAAGATTGTACCCCAAACCTTGTGTTCATTGGTCTTCTCGGCTTGTTCGTGCTAGTTGCTTCGTATTGTTCGTTGCCTGATAAATTTTATATGTGCGTGTACCATAGGCGTCCATGGGGGGGGGGGGGGGGTTGGCCCAGGCAATTGCCTTGGGCCGCTACCGAAGCGTTTAAGGAATCCATTTGGCTTAAACGTCTCCTAACGGAGATTGGTAGTCTTAAGCAGGACATTTGTGTGTGTTTTGATAGACAATATGCTATTCAACTGTGCAAAAACCATGTTTTTCATGATAGAACTAAGCATATTGATGTTAGATTTCATTTTATATGTGATATTGTTAGTGCAGGTTGACAAGTCCGTATTTAGACACGCATTTGATGCGTGTTCGGGTTGGATTTTGATGGTTTTCCTAGCTTTAAGGCGTTGCAAGTCTCAATTTTGGCTCAAGTTGTGTTAAGCAGGCGTTGGATCGAGTTTCGTTGCAATTGGAGTTGAATTGAAGAAGTTAGAGTCCGGCAATCGGCGCTTGAGAGGAATTCGGAAAGGATTTGAAGGCATACGAAGAAGATTTGAGAGATTTGGAGGTCACCGGGAGATTCACGACAAAATTCTGATGAAGAAAGAGCATTTGGATCGACCTCGTAGGCATTCGAGAGCATTTGGAGCAAGAAACGAAGAAAAAAAGATGAAGAAAAGGTCAGGCACGACCGTGCCTAGGGCAGGCACGATCGTGCCTGCATTTAGGAGTGCACGCCGAGACACTGCCAGCCAGACACGACCGTGTCTGGGGCAGGCACGATCGTGTCTGCAATCAATACGCGTGCATGCTCCGCAGGCACGATCCCAGGCACGATCGTGCCTGGCATCGTGTCTGGCCCCGATTTGTCCTATTTCAGCTCAAACTCTACTGTTTTCTTTAAATAAGGCCTCCATACCCCTTTTTATTGGTTACGAACTTTGTGGAGAGGCCTAGGACGAGTTTTACCTGCGTTTTTACGTTGTTTACTTCAAGAACCTGGGATTCTTTGTAAGTTCAATTCTTGTAATTAATGACAATTTATTCTATTCATCCCAATTCTGTTGATTCGTCAATTATGAGGCGTGAGTAGTTTAATTAGGGATTTGGGGTTGATGAAGGGGTTAATCATGATTGATGGCTAGATTCTTGTCGGTTTAATTGCATGAATGTCGTTTAATTTGTGTTTGAATAATTTAACTGATATCTCTTGTAACCTAGAATCGCGACTAGAATTACAATTGCTTGTAGAATAAATTGAGAGAGATCTAATTTATTCTAGGACATATTCACACACACTTAATCGTTCGCTAAGAGATTAGTAGCGATTAAGGGGCCGTAAGCTCGCTCGTCTTGGCAATAATTTAGGATCCTGTCGCATGAGAGATCAGCCTGGTCCCCTAAATTATTGTACTCTACGCCGCGAGAGCAGTAAGAACTTAGTAATGATTAGCTAGGCTCAATTAAATTAAATTCATGTAATTAGGCCTGTTCTGCCAGAAATCTGGTTAACCTCGGAATCAATTCCTGTTCCCTTCGTCGTTAATTAAGAAAAAACCAATCTTTTTACTCGCTCATTAGCATTAGTTTTATTTTAATCAATCAACCAATCTCGCACAATTGCATTTTATTTTATTTATTTCTTTTTAATCGCTGAATTTAGTTAATCTTTAATTCCCTTTTGTTCGTTCCTGTGGAGACGATACTCGTACTTTCAACCACATTTCTACAACCATTTTAAGTGCGAGAAAACACACATCACAGGACATATCAAGTTGATTAAAATTCCATCTGAATTTAATCCTGCTGACATGGGAACTAAATGTCTCTCTGTCGAAAAGTTGATGTCATGCAAATGCACGTTAAACATTGACTGCGGATAAGTTGCCTGGTGATCTTACCCCTTTTGCCTGAATGTATCTCTGTGATCATTCGGGCAATTCGGCGATGATGAGTCTCATATTGTTTTAGAGCGTTGTGCTCTACACCACTAGGGTCCAATAAGGTGGAGGATTTGTTGGTATTGGCCCATTTATTCATATCAAGTTGATTAAAATTCCATCTGAATTTAATCCTGCTGACATGGGGACTAAATGTCTCTCTGTCGAAAAGTTGTTGTCGTGCAAACGCACGTTAAACATTGACTGCGGATAAGTTGCCTGGTGATCTTACCCCTTTTGCCTGAATGTGTCTCTGTGATCATTCAGGCAATCCAGCGATGATGAGTCTCAAATTGTCTTAGAGCGTTGTGCTCTACACCACTAGGGTCCAATAAGGTGGAGGATTTGTTGGTATTGGCCCATTTATTCTTAAGCCCAAGTGAAATACCCGACCCATACACTTATTCTCCCGTTCGCATCCTCATTCCCGTCGGCCTGCGCGATTTTGTTCCCTTCTCAACGATTGAATGTGTATCTTCTTGTTTTTGGTAAGTTACCATAACCGAGCCTTCTCTTCTACTATTTGATCTTTCTCCTTGACTGCCGAGGGGTTGAAACGGCAAAAATCCCCTCTTCTCTGCTACGGTCCTTTGCATCCCCTTTGTGGAGTATTCAAAGCTAGGGCAGAATAGATTAGCTGGTTGATGCCCAATTCTTCCCATGAGACTTCTAATGGTGATTTTCATCCTTTGTGGGTGTAATCTTTGGAGACCTGAGCTGGATTGGAGTTATAACAGGATCGTTTTGAACTGGTTCCCACAGACAGCGCCAGTGATGAATTCAACATAACATGATATAATAAATATAGATATAAATACTGTATGAACACTCTGTTCTTTCATGGAAATCCGGAATGCAAAAAACCACGAGACTTTTTTAGGCTAATGTCCAAGCCCTGTCATTTTTTAATGCTCTCAGCTCCTTACCGTTATTACATAGTACAAAAGCTCCCATTAATGGAGTATTCAAGCTTCATCTTGAGAGAAGTAGAGTTGAGGAGAAGGGAAAAGTCCCTAAACATGTTGGAAACCCTTCGATTTAGAGGGGAATGGGGTTAATGTGAAAACCCACCCTAACGGGCCAAATGGCCGAAATGGGCCCAAAGGTCCGAAACATGTCTGATAGACTGAAATGGGCCTCGTCATTCGGGCTCCGTACTGGGCGATGCCTTGGGCTCCTGAATAATAGTAGGCCGAGATAATATATCTCAACACGTGATTTCATTAATGTATTCAAAATGGTTGCCTTAAATTAAATTCTAATCCCATAGACAAGATAGAAATTTTTTTCCAAGAGTTTAATTAATAAAAATAGTCAAATTCATTAACTAATTAAACTCATTATTTAAGCAGTTGAATTTATCTCTCATAGACAAGATCTATATCCCTTTGATTAAAATATCCTATTTTTACGCCTTATTAATGTGCTTGAATGATTGGTTTAAATTATTTTCTAATCTCATAGAAATGTTCAAAATAATTTCCCAAAAATTTAATTACTGAAAATGGCTAACAATTATTAATTAATATTTCACCATTTTAAACAACTAGTCCAAATTATTAATTTTAACCCCAAATTTTTGGCCAATAATTCACAATCCATATTCCTTTATTCACTTCATGCCCAAACTAAATTTGGCAAGGAATTTTATATGGGTGTAACCGTTTACCAGAAGTTGACTTTTCCTCGTTCAAAAACGATGAAAATACTCAAACTCTGAACACCCGAGTTGTAATTTTCTAAGGAGAGGACGTACAGATCTATGAAATGGGAATCAAAAGAACCCTTGGTACACCCTATGTCCCAGAATTATCCGTATTTGTTTTGATCCATTCGAAAATACTCTTCAATTTCTTTTTATGACAAATAATTCATGGTTCATATTGTTTTCTCTTGTCTACGCAATTCTAAGCGCATAGTTTCGACTGTTTTTTTTTTCTACGTGAAAAGTCAATTTGGAAAATAAATAGGGGAAGAAGGTGCTACATGAGAGGTATAAATTGATAAAACATTATAATTATAGAGAAACAAAGTAGAAACTATAATATATTTATATAACACCAATGTGAAAAAACTTACTTAAAATCGAGATGAAACTCTAGATATGTTACATTGGGATACATACAAAAGATACACTCCATTGCATATACGACTAATACATATATGCAGTAAAAAAATTATATTAAAAGACCTATTCAGGTTCAATTCAATCATTACAGACGGATGGGAGCTTGAATTGAGGCATGGCAATACAATGCTATATATAGATATATTATACATATAATAATTTAAAGAACAAAGGTAACCCCAACTAGAAAGAAGTGAAACAATCATTTTCAGAAGAGTTGGAATCATCGCAGGGGGAGTGATTGTGCCTGCCTTCATATGTTGTTATCACCATCCTGCAATCTTCTGAAAGCCTTTCCACTCTCTTCTTTACTCGACAATTGTTGTGTGTGCACCTGTAGTAACTTCTGCATAATTCATATAATATGGTAAAATATTCATATCATGCATGGCACATCATATATGAATCACTCATGGAGTACAATAGATTTGTATACTCCAATTTGAAGTAAAAACTGGTTCGCAAACTCAGTGTTTCTTAATCTCTTATGAGTAAGCTATTGCATGAAATAATGGTTAGGGATTTCTGTAGATGCATGATCAAGGTATAAAAAGAGGAGTTATTATAGGGTTTTGTGAGAAACTATACGTACTGGGTGGTTGGATATGGACTTCATGTTGTGCCTGTTTGATTCTTATGTGCTTGATTTCAATGCAAATTTTCTATTTTATCCTCTTTTAAGCTATTTTAGGTTAATTTTTAGTGTGAGGTTAAAAAGATTTTTTTTGTATCATTCCATTCATACAAACTTACAACTATGACGGCTTTTTTCTACTTCATAATATTTTTTTAGTTATATGAGAAAATCGAATATGTTCTTTAAAATAAATTTAAATTATATGTTCAATACATCTTTTTTCAATCATTGAATTAATTATGATTTCTTGTAAAACGATGACGATAAAAGTTATTTACAAATATTAAGCATATATAGTACCATATGATACTCCTCTGTCTCATAATTAAATAAGTTCGATCATGTATGACCTTTTAGAATCAAACTTTGTTTATTTGACAATTATTTAATTATATTCCTACTATTTTATAACACCAAAATGATTTAAAATACTTCAAGATTTTTTTTGACTTAGTCTTGTAACTTTTGTTATGCCACTATTAGTCCCTTACCTTTACTTCCACATCATGTCGTGTAACTAATAACATTTTCCATTTTAGGTAATTTTGGATCGAAACCTATAAGGGGAATTGTCATAAATAGGAGTAAATTTGTGTTTGTATTCTAAAATAAGACTTTCATGTTTTTATTACCTAAATAGAAGTAATTAATTCTATGGTTTAGCAGTACTAGACTCTAGACATGACAATATTTTTTAAACTTGACAATAATCGCTCCTATTTATTAGGTAATAAAAACATGAAAATTTATAACACCAAAATAATTTAAAATAGTTCAAGATTTTTTTGACTTAGTCTTGTAACTTTTGTTATGCCACTATTAGTCCCTTACCTTTACTTCCACATCATGTCGTGTAACTAATAACATTTTCCATTTTAGGTAATTTTGGATCGAAACCGATAAGGGGAATTGCCATAAATAGGAGTAAATCTGTGTTTGTATTCTAAAATAAGATTTTCAATTTTTTATTAGCTAAATAGAAGTAATTAATGCTATGGTTTACCAGTACGAGACTCTATATATGATAATATTTTGTAAGCTTGGCAGTAATTGCTCCTATTTATTAGGTAATAAAACATGAAAGTTCTATAAAATCAATTGATCCTAGTCCGTAATTAGATTTTTTAGTAAATAACATTTGCATATTCAGAAACTAAATTAAAAGTTTATAGTCTCAAAAGAAAAGCTAAAATTTGATAAAAGTTGGACATATGAAATAAAATATTACGTGCGTTGACCATAGAATAATGGACGAGAACCCGGGAACCTTTGAATGAGACAGGAGTATTACTAATTTCTAAATAGTGAAAACAACATTTTTCCTGTACTTTTCACATGTCATTCTATTACTCTATTGTTTACGTGGTGATAGTTACTAATTATTATGATTTTCAAAAGAAGTAAAATCCATTCACATATATCAATTGTGTTGTTAATAATAGCTTTAAAAAAGTCAATAACTAACTCGTAATTTTAAGATCATTTATATCATGAAAATATAGCTTTAATAAATATGGCTATATATATAAATCTGAATGGAAGGTGTACTTTATTGGTATTTAGAGCATATCAAATGCAACAGTGTGCATGGTGCCATGTGGCATGAGGGAGATAGACATATAAAAATAAATCATTGGCATTTATGTCTCTTTCTTTCTATATTTTTAATTTTGATAATAATGTTAACCATATATAATGTCTACATCTAAACATTCTTCTTAATATTGTGAAGAAAAACATATCAAAAATATATAAGATCGCTCAAATATGGAGAAAACTATTTTGCTTACTAATATTTGTGTGTCTATCTCTTTCATGTCACAATGTACCGTGCACATTACAACACTGTCAATGTGGAGCATTAATAATTGAAGTGTTAGAAGGTACAACTACCAACTTTTGTTTGAAAGGAAGGTACTACGTATTAAACACCAGGAGATGAAGCATATGCTGATTCAACTATATATCCAGTAGCTCCAAGGACCTATTTACTTGGCTGTTTAAGTCACTGTTAGTTTACTAAGAAGCCTGAAGTAAACGTTCTAGGCTGGGTAAATAAATGCTTACTAAGCAATTCAACCTGTTAAACGTCGCTTACGAAACGCAGCTCCCCCCATGTTTTATTTAGTCGGCGACTTAAGCCATTTCATATTGACCATCATACCCTTATTTTATAGCGTTGTGGAATTTTTATTACAACCATACCCTATCACATACTCAGCTGTCCTCATCCATTCCTTTCATACGACACCGAAAACCGAAAGTTCTGCCATCTCCTCTAAACTTTCTCTCAGACGCAAGAAAAACCCCAACGAAGCTCCTCTAAAGTTCTGCCATCTCCTCTATTTATGTTTATTGTGTGGGTTAGATTTCGAATGGAGAAGATAGATGCAGCGGAGTGAAGAAGAATATATTACCTTTATACTACAGAGAGAAATGGAGGAAGATGTTTGATGGTAGTCGATGCTCTGCTACATAATCGGCTTGAACTGCCAGGTGATGGAACTGCTACATAGGGTTTTAAATGTAATCCATGTTTTAAGCCTAATGAAGGAGACAGACTTTTGATTAATTAGGCCTGAATTCATTATGAAGTAAACTTTGGCTTACTAAACACTGCTTACTATGCAAGGTCTTACTAACGCAGGGTTTATTGAACACCGTTTATTAAGAATTAAAGTAAACATGTCCCGAGTCTCATTTTGTAAGATCCCAGATTTGGGTGCTAAACATTATTTGAGTTTTTATGATAATCTTTAATTTACTGAAATGCTCAGTAAGTTCTTATATTTTCATTTTCAAACGCTACTGCTTATAAACCAATATTTCTATTTTATGTGTCGCTTAGCTTCTTACATCAAATTAAACGTGGTGCCTAAAGCCCACAATTAAAGTTGTTAACAATTGACTTATTATCAAAAGTTTATTAAGGTTTATACTCCCTCTGTCCCTAAATTTACTTCCATTTCGCTTTTCGAGAGTCAACTTAAATCACTCTTAAACTCTTACTTTTTGTATCAAAACTTTATGAAAATTGATTTTTTTTGTGCAGGCTTTGTAGCGGGTTTAATGTAGTTTCTGAATATGTAAATTTTATTTACTAAAAATAATCCGAGTTTTCACAGGGATCATTTAACTTTATCGTCGGTCAACCTTCGTAATCCGCAATCAGAAGAACATTCAGGGACGGAGGGAGTACATAAACTGTACATTTTCTAAATTTGCTAGGAGCCAATCAGCCAAAGTGCCAAACCCTAGACCTTGATCAAGCACTCACCGCTCATATCATGCCACCATATCTAATTCGTTAATCCTTCTTGTACTGCGTATCTAAACTACATACGGTATCATGTAATAGGGAGTAGTTTTTAATTAACATCCAAATAACGTCAGCTACCTACTTAATTTATGCTTAACTAAATCACTTATTAAGGAGTAAAGAGGTAAAAGTATTGTACTGGTTGGTTACATGGTTTTAGAAACAACTTTTAAAGTTTACCTAATAAACAGTGAAATACTCTCTATCAGTAAAATACTCTCTTCATGCATTATGAGTTTATAACAAGGTAGATTATATGGTACCCATAAGGTATCATACCTTTGTCCACATATACTAATCAGAATGTTGCAGTTGAATTATTTTAATATAAATTAATAATGATATACTTATTTGGACCAATCAAGTGAGTGGTAGGTACTGTACCCCATTTTTTAAATGGGTACTAGAGTTCTCACCTTATGACAAAACCCAACATCTTAGGGCCTGTTTACTAACAGAGATATCTTCTAGTTTTCCAGAAAACTGGAAAACTGGAAAACGGAAAACAGGAAACGTGTTTACCAAGGAAATTCCTGGAAAAGTGGAGAAAGGAAAAAAGAAAAACGCGTTTATCAAATTGTTTTCCAAAACGGAAAAAATGAGACATGTCTCTCTTTTCCTTAATGATTTGGAGAAGTGACTTTTACTAGTTTTCCAAATTTGGAAAACGCAGATGCTACAGTGCCGCTGCAATGAATTTGCATACTTACACCTAGTGGTGGGTCCGGTCCCACTCCGATGTCGATTCCATTCCGGTACATTCCGGTAAAATTCCATTCCACTACAATGAATTTTTCCCTATAATGACGCTACCCCACCCCGATCCACCCTACCCTACCGCCACCCCCCTACCACCTTGACCCCACCCCGACCCACCCTACCCTACCCCCACCCGTATAGTACCCCTTACCACATGCCCCTACCTCGGCCCCACCCCACTGCCATCCTACCCCCACCCTCGTACCGCCATCCTACCCCCACTCTACCCTTCCCCTACCTCGGCCCCACCCCGACCCACCCTACCCTACCCCCACCCGTATATTACCCCTTACCCCTTACCACATGCCCCTACCTCGGCCCCACCCCACCGCCATCCTACCCCCACCCTCGTACCTCCATCTTACCCCCACCCTTCCGCCATCCGACCACCATCCTACCCCCCACCCTACCCTTCCCCTACCTCGGCCCCACCCAGATCCCAGGCCCACCCTATCTCCATCCTATCCCACTACCCCTACCTTACCCCAACCCCAACCCTACCCACTACCCCCACCCTTACCGCCATCCCACCCCCCCACCCCCTACCCCTTGCCTACCTCAGCCCCACCCTGGTCCCGACCCCACCCTACCGCCATCCTATCCCAACTCCATACCTCACCTCTACCTTACC